TATGTATAAAAGTACCTGAGCATTGTTAACACTCTTTTCTTTAGAATCAAAGCCAGCTTTCTCTAGATCATGCAGCTGTTCTGGGAGTTTAGTAGTTAACTGTTATCAAAATTGGATACCTCCTGTTAGGGGCTGAATTTATCCCCCAACATTCATATGTTGAAGTGCTAACCCCCAGTACCTCAGACTGTGACTCTATTTGGAGATAGGGCCTTTAGAGAGGTGATTTAAGTTAAAATGAGGACTTTAGAGTGGGCCGCAATCCAATCTGGTTGGTATCCTTATTAAGAAGAGAAAATTTGGGGACACCTGGGTGGCTCAGTCTGTTAAACGTCTGCCTTCGGCTCAGGTCATGATCCCATGATCGAGCCCCACACTGGGCTTCCCGCTCGGCAGGGCGACTGCTTCTCCCTCTGCCTCTGCCACTCCCCCTGCTTATGTTCTCTCTCTCTCTGACAAATAAAATCTTAAAAAAAAAAACGAGAGAAAATTTGCGAACACGGGAAAGACACCAGGCACACATGCCCAGAGGAAAGACCATGTGAAGAGACAGCAGAGGGCAGCCATCTGCAAGCCGAGGAGAGAGGCCTCAGAGGAAACCTATCCTCTTGACATCTTGATTCTGAACTTCCAGCCTCCAGAACTGTGAGAAAGTGAATTCACGTTGCTTAAGCCTCCCAGTCGGTGGCATTTCGCGATAGCAGCTCTGGCAAACTAACACGCCTCCTCAAGTGAATTTCCAGATGCCATAAGGTAACATTTATAAAATAAGTCCGCTCTCTGAAAGAGAGCAGAAAATTTTTCATTTTTAATCAGGAGCTTAGCAAACCCCAGCGTTTTAATGTACCACAAACCAATCATTCGGTAGCAAACCCCATGCAGCCTGCGTGTTCTTCCTCTCCTGGTTTGGCTGTCTCCTGAATAATTTGAGATTTAGTTGCAGAAATCATACTCCTTTACCTTCAAATACTTCATATTTTTATGTAAGAATGTTTTCTTACATAATTATCAAATTCAGAAAATTTAACACTGACATAGGCTATTACCTATGTAATAGGTAATACCTATTACCTATGGACCATGTATTCATGGTCCACATTAAAATTGTGCCAGTTGTCCCAATAATTTCTTTTCTGGCAATCTCACCTCTCCTTCCCACTTCTAGGACCACATGTTACATTTAATTATCTTGTCTCTTTAATCTTATTTATTTTAAGTAAGTAAGTAACCTCTACACCCAACAGGGGGCTTGAACTCACTACCTTGAGTTCGAGTCACATGCTCCTCCAACTGAGCCAGCCAGGTGCCCCTCATAGCTCTTTAATCTCCTTTAAACTTTGTCCACCATGACATCTACATTTTTAATGATTACACAGCAGGTGTTTTGTAAATGTTCCTCAGTCTGGGTTTGTCTGATGATTAGGTTCAGGTTATGCCTCTTTAGCATAATTGGAACTTTAGACTTGCATAGCTGTTCACACCACAAAGCAAAGATGCATGTAAGAGTTATCACACCCTTCCACTGCTTCAAAAGCAGCAAATAACACCTATATACTAAGAGGAACATATATATTTTTTAAAGATTTTATTTACTTATTTGACAGAGAGAGTGAGCAAGCACAAACAAGGGGAGCAGCAGAGGGAGTGGGGAAGCAGGCTCCCCACTGAGCAGGGGGCCCAATGTGGGACTCCAGGATCATGACCTGAGCCGAAGGCAGACGCTTAACCAACTGAGCCACCCAGGCGCCCCTAAGAGGAACATATCTGATAAATAAATTCACTTTGAAGTATTAGTGATGAAGAGTGGTCTCCCCCTGAGTCAATACACCTGCTAGGCATCACTATTTTTTTTAAAGATTTATTTATTTATTGGGGGGTGGGGAAGGAGTGGGGGAGTGGGAAGAGGGGCAGAGGGAGAGGAAGAGAAAATCCTAAGCATACTCCATGTGGAGGGCAGAGCCCATGCCCCGGCATCACTATATATATATATATTTTTTAAGATTTTATTTATTCATTTGAGAGAAAGAGAGCATGGGGGGAGGGTCCGTGGGGGTGGGAGGAGCAGACTCCCTACTGAGCAGGGAGCTTGAAGCAGGGACTCTATGCCAGGACCCTGGGATCATGACCTGAGCTGAAGGTAGATGCTTAACCAACTGAGTCACCCAGGTGCCCCATCACTGTATTTTTAAAGAACAATTTATTAGGCAAAAGGATGCATTTTTTTAAGTCATGAAGGCATGTGTTTTTAATTACAGGTGTAGGCTACTTCTCATATAGGCAACTCTATGCATGTTCAAGGGTGAGGAATGATGCAATTATACCCAGACTTATTTTGAAAACAGTCCTTGTTACAAAACCCTACAGGAGCAGCCTGCTTTCTATAACAGATGCAGTGAGTGAAGGAGTGAAGCTGCTAAGCTTCAGTTTGTCTTAGTCTCCTGAGGTTTATGTTATCAACCAGTGAGGTCTTCATGGACTAGATTTCAGAGCAGTTGAGTTTTTGGATTACAGAAGTTCTAATGTCTGGGGAGAGAAAGCCCAGTCCAAGCAAGTTCATTTGGGCAGCTGGTGGCCCTGTGAGCACATGGAATACTTAGGTGAGGGGCGAGTAGTGGAGCGGGGGAGCATGCTGGAATAGAGGGGGTCCAGAAAGGGAGGTGAGATTCAAACACGAACCTTTCCCTGTCTTCAAGTTTGCCCTAGATTGGCCCTTTTCATCCATCCTTCCTTCCTTCCTTCCTTCCTCCCTCCCTCCCTCCCTTCTTTCCTTCCTTCTCTCTGCCCCCTCCCTCCCTCTTTCTTTCTTTTTTAAAGATTTTATTTGAGAGAGCGAGCACACGAGCACATGAGTGGGGGAGGGGCAGAGGGAGAGGGAAATAATTTTTTTTTTTTGAGGGAAAGAAGTCTTAAGCAGACTCCATGCTGAGTGTGGAGCCTGACCTGGGGCTCAGTCCCACAACCTCGAGATCATGACCTGAGCCAAAATCAAGAGTTGGATGCTCAGGGCGCCTGGGTGGCTCAGTCGCTTAAGCGACTGCCTTCGGCTCAGGTCATGATCCTGGAGTCCCGGGATCGGGTCCCGCATTGGGCTCCCTGCTTGGCGGGGAGTCTGCTTCACCCTCTGACCCTCCCTCCTCTCATGTGCTCTCTCTCCGTCTCTCATTGTCGCTCTCTCAAATAAATAAATAAATAAATAAAATCTTAAAAAAAAAAAGAGTTGGATGCTCAACCGACTGAGCCACATAGGTGTCCATAGATTGGCCCTTTTCTGGTTATGCTCCAACCAATCAGAAAGAAAGCAAATGAGAGAGCAAATACATTACAAAATTCGAGTTTTTTAGCGAGGATTTCAAATACAGGTTTTATTTAAGCCTGTAATTTTGAAGCAAATATCTGTCCTTATAAGCAAGTTTGCTATGAAGTGAGTGAAGGAAATAATTTGTTTTTTTCCTTTTTATCTTTTCATATAGCAAAACAGCATGGTGGTTTTCTCGGTCTCTCCATTTCCCAGGCAACACTCCCAGCGTCCTCACGTCTTTATGTTCCCTTTTTCCCTTTGTCGAAGTATCTGCACCGCGGCAACTTTTGCACCTGGGAGGAACAGGTGTAACCACTGACTTCATATGCAAAAGCCACGTTTCTATGTTACAGGCAAGGTGAGTGGCACAAACAGGAGGCAGCATTTTACGGAATGGCTACAGTGATACCCAACGAATGCAGTCAGTGGGATTTATTATTTCTGTTGCACCCTTGGGTTCCTATAGCTGAGTGAACTTATGTCTGTGGAGCTCTAGAGTTACCAGAACATCCATGTAAACTTTTAATCTGACTGTTGGGCCTAGACCCGTGTCGAAAGTTTTAGGGGAACTATATAATCTAAACTAGTATCCATACAATGATAATGGGAGAAACAGTGAGAGAGGAGGGAGTTGCTTAAAAAGTCAACATTAAAGTAACTTTAGATATTACAGTTAAAAATAGTTTTTTAAGGTAGGTAGTTTGGTTTATGACATTTTCAAGGTATTCTCTTAGACTCCCTGTAACTTTGTTTTGCTTTACTGTTTATAATTCTTTTGTTGTTGTTGTTAGAAAACTGAGTGGCGGGGCGCCTGGGTGGCTCAGTCGTTAAGCGTCTGCCTTCGGCTCAGGTCATGATCCCAGGGTCCTGGGATCGAGACCCACATCGGGCTCCCTGCTCGGCAGGAAGCCTGCTTCTCCCTCTCCCACTCCCCCTGCTTGTGTTCCCTCTCTCGCTGTGTCTCTGTCAAAATAAACAAACAAACAAACAAATAAATAAATAATCTTAAAAAAAGAAAACTGAGTGGATCTAGAAAGTCCTCACAAGAAAAAAAATTGTAACTATGTATGGTAATGGTTGCTAACTGGACTTATTGCGGTGATTATTTTGCAATATATACAAATATGGAATCATCACATTGCACATCTGAAGCTAATATAATGTAATGTCAGTTACACCTCAGTGAAACAATAAATGAATAACCACTAGCCACACCATTGCCAAATAGAGAATAAAACTATCAGTTTTCTACAATTTCCTTTAAAGTTCACTTTGTAAATGCGCCCTGCTCTGTAAGTTTTCCAGTGAATAAAAAGGGTGTCATTACTGTCTTCATTGGTTTATATCAATTTATTTAAATGCTTTTCACTTGAATTTAGAAGACAGAGCTGATTCTTCTGGCATCTCAGTATGTAGAGGAATTCTTGGAACTACCCCTCTTAGGATTTTATTTGCATCAATATACTGTGATCTTCAAAAGTTGGGGATAAGGGTAATGCAGTTATTGCTCCCATTTTGCAAACTTGAATAACCTATAAACCGATATCTTCCCTGCTGACAAGAAAAACAACTTCTAGTCTGTGGTGTTTAAGGTACTTCAAGTCCAGTTGTTTGAGTTTGGAAGAAGAAAGCAGAAATCTGTTTAGAGTCTCCTCTGAGGCACTGGCTTCTTTTGCTTCAGCATATTTGGGGCTTCTCTTTTCTATCTGCTTTCCTCAGATGAGCTTCCTCTCCAGAGTCTTCCCCTGGGAAAATATTTATAATGAGGAGTAAGGCGACCATGTGGCCAAAAAAATGGACGAAATGGAAACCGGTGGTTGCACTTCTGAGGAAGGAAAGGTATGTGTGGAAACCTAAAGTGGACACTAGGCCCTTGCCATGGAAAAAAATGAAAGGGACACTTGGGGGTCCTTGTGACGAGCTGGATCCTTGTCACCGGATTCCTCCTAGGGGGTGGAGGGGTGAGTGTAAAGATCTGGCAGTCTGTAGGACCTCCATTATCTTGTGAGCCTCCAGGAGGGGTGGCTCCCTCTTCTTGTCCTGCAGAGAGAAATGCAAGTCAGGAAACAGGCCTGATCACAGAAGCAGAAGGGAGATCCTTTAGGTGGTAGCAGGGCCGAAAGACTAGGAGAGAGAACTAGAGAAGTCTCAAAGCGTGTTTGAAAAAACCGCCAACGTCCAACAGAATGAAACATGAACACACCTCATGACCCAGCAGTCCTACACCGGGGAGTGTATCCCAGAGAAATGGGTGCATATAGCTACAAAAGACTACTTCAGTAATGTTCATAGCAGCCTGATTCATATTAGCTTAAACTTGGAAACAGGGCAAGTGTCCATCAATAGGAGAACGGTTAACCAAATTGTGTATACACAATGAAAAGGAAGCCATGAGAAGAAAGAGATACTACTACAACAACATGGAGGCATCCCATGGGTGTTCCGTTGAGCAAAAGGAGTTAGACACAAAAGAGTACATACTGAGGTCCCCACTTATATAAGTTCAAGGAAAAAAACTGATCTCTGGTTAAAAAATTTTCCAAAAAAGTAACGAATTTACAGTTAGGGTAGGTGTTATTTTGTGGAAAAAATGGAATTCTGTAGATCTTGATCCAGGGGGTGGTCACATGGATATGGAGGTACACACACACACACACGCACACGCACACACATATTTATATTTACACACATGTGTATGTATAGAACATACATACATGTGTATATGTAAAATGTGATCAGTCTGTACCTTTAAGATTTGTCTATGTTATTGTTCACAAATTATAACTGAATGAAGAAAATTCAGTAGAGAAAAAGAATTAATTTTAAGAAAATAAAAATAACCGCCCCTCCTGAGGCCTGTTAATCCCAGAGGTGCGCTTCACTTGACCTAGCAGTGAAATCATTCCCTAAAGAGGAGGGGAACAAGCACTGAGAACCAGGATGAAATTCGTTTCTGAGAAGAAATTTGGATCAAGCTCAAGTGTCAAGGTCTCAAGGTCTTCTCTAGAGAGAAGACCCTTCTCTGTATCATGCAACTGAATTGGCTGTGAAATAGTAAGCTTCCCTTCAGAAACTTATTCCTTCACTTTCTTGGAGGCTTACAATACAGGCCTGGATTGGGCTGCTGAGTGTGAACGATGAAAAAACAAACTCCTACAGGAAGCTAGGAGTACTGAAGTGCTTCAAAAGAGCTAGACTCCCTTTAATTTTGGAACAACCTAATCCAGATTTCTTGGTTGTATAGGATATGCCTATTGCCTGCTTGTGTTCATAGCCCCTTTGGAGATTCTGTTTTACCCACAACCTCTGGAAAGGTCGGTCCTACATATCCTTGGCTATGGCTGATTGGCCTGCTGATAGACACTCAGCTCATTCATTGGCTGACCAGTGACCAATCAGATTCTCATTTGAGAATTTCAACAAAGAGACTCAGTTGGTGGAGGATGTTAGTAGAAAGTGAAGGGCAGGGAGTGGAGTATTAGGTTTTGGCCAGTTGAATGCTGAGTAAGTAGAGAAGCCAGTCTTTCCAAAGAAGCTATAACACAGGAAGGCCCGAAAAAGAGAGACAAGAGACTATGTGGTAACAGAGTGGTGATGAGAGTAGCATTGGTTCTTGACTTTCCAGGGCTGATCCCTCTGAAGCCTGGCTGTGCTCAGGGTTCATGGAGATATCCTTTTAGTAATCACTCTACCTCCAGCTCTACTCTACTCTTTTCTTAAGTTAGTTGAATGGCTGTCTACTCCTTGAATGAAATACTGACCCTTTCTTCCATACCCACCCAGGCTACTGAGTATTGAAATCCTATGATTAAAACTAGATTAAGACGTTTCAAACCACAGAAGAGGATTAAATCCCACATCACTCATTCTTTCCTCCTACACAGTTAGATCAGTTCTGAACCTTTGTAACATGAAAACTTTCTGTGAGATGAGAATCCAGTCCTTAGCGGAGAAGCTAGCTTTATTCTTAAGCTCCATCTTGACATTTTTGTTATCAGATCAGACTTAGCTAGGCCTGAGCTCTGCTACTCAGGCTGTATTCCAGATGTTAAAAACAAACCAACTACCCACCCCTTGTGCTCATCTCATTTCTTAAACCTGAGGCTACGCACCAAATCCTCCTGCTGACTACAGGGTGTTAGAACCTGCTAGGCAGCTTTTCTCTAATTCTGGGATGTCCTGCAGTGTTCAGCACTCTCTTCTGGGAATTTCCAAGGTCTCCAGATCACAATACAAGCTTGTGTTGTGATCTGGAGACCCAGTAACCAACCCAAGAATGTGGGCAGGACCACATAAAACTACATTCTTCCTGCGAACTAGACACATGATGACTATTTCAGGTCACTGGTTGGCCAGCACAAGTGTTCTAAAATGTGGGAACCACAGGGATTGATTTGGGAAACTGTCACAGGGTAAGGCCACACATTTGGGTAAGGAGGTTGATGCCATTCGTGGTCTCCAACTCTGGCTGAGTTGACACGGCTCATCCATTCTTTTGTTTCTCCTTGTTCCGCGCCGTTCCCGCTGTCTTCTAAATCTTTGACATTCTCCTCAAAGCCTCTTCAAAATTCTCATTCTTCTTCATTCACTTGAAGAATTCTCTTCAAAAGTCTCTCTACCTTTCTAAGTAGACTACCTAGCTTCATATTTCAGAAAGAAAACTTCAGTGATCTGCTAATGAACTTCTTTGGTTCCTATTTCTCTCACTTCAGAGAGAAGTCTACACAGTTCCAGCTCGATTCCCACTGCTCCCCCCCACATTTAATCTACTGGAATCTGACTGTGCTTTCTCTACTCCACAAAAACTACTTTGGCAAAGTCATCAATGGTCCTGAGCTTTTACCAAGTTGGTTCCAGAAGCCTAAGCACCATTTCCTGTCCTTTTTGCCTGGCTTACTCCTACACAGATTTCATGCCTCATTTCCTCAGGGAGCCTTTCCTACCCTGAGGCTGGCTTAAGGCCCTTGGCAGTATATTTCCATACCACCCTGGGAGTCCACTTTTGGAATACTCATCAGTCATGTCATTACTATTTGTGGTTATATTCCTCCTCCACTAAAACATCCACATGACCATCCTGTAGACTGCTGTCTCCTCATCTCTAGGGCCTGCAGCGGAATTGAATTGATTGAGAGAAATCTCTGTTTCTGTAATTGCAAGAGTTACCATCTTTCCACCTGTCAGGGATAATGTGATCATTATAAATAAATGTTTTTCAATATGTAACATACTGACATGCCACCAAAGGCACTGAAGGCCAAAGATGAGAACCCTTCTGCGACCTTAATCAGACCAAAGTAGGTCAAATATTTCCATGCAGATTGAAAACATTTTTAGCGGCAGAAGAGCATAGTGTTTAAAAGCATGGACTCTAGAACCGGGCTCCCTGAGCTCTGCCATTGAGTAACTGTGACCATTGACAGGTTCCTTAACTTTTCTGAGTTTCCTTATCCTTATTTATAAAATGAAGAAAATAATATTACCTATCTCATTGGCTTTTTGTATTATCTGAAATAAGATATGTAAAGTGCTCAGAACATGTCTGACCCACGGTATGCATTTAGTAGGTGTTTCTTACCGTTATTATTCATCTTGAATGTTATGGAAAGACTCTATCAATACAAGCCCCATTTTCTTGGGCCCATCTTGTTACACTTTATATATAAAATCTGTACACTACTGATAGGACTCACAGGACCTCCATGAGAGCAGAGACTGTTGATTCTGTTGGTCCCGGCTCTGTCCCTAGCACCCACAGCAGTCCCTGGCTTAGAGTGGTGCCCAGGACAGGCTCAAGAAATTGAATGAATGGGCAGGCAGATGTTGAGGGTTCCTCTCTGTAGATTTTTGTGAAGCTCAGTGAGTACTTAATTCTAGTCCCAGAAAAATTTTCAATAATAACTTACATTTAGACTTAGAGTGTAATGAAAAATCAAGCCAAAATATTGCTTGAAGTTTGGAAATCAATTTTAAGTGGGTTTATTATAGTCTAGACATGAAATGCATAGCATACCAATAGCTAGTACTTTTTTTTTATGTAAGGATGAGAAGTTCCTTTTCTTAAAAAACAAAAAACAAAAAACACAATTACCTGTAGTCTGTGGTTATTTGGGCAGACAATAGATGGTTTGTAATGAACGGTACTGATTTTTAAGAGAGGTAATCTTTATACATCATGTTTGAGTATGCAGTTCTTTCTTTTATATGGCTCATGGAATCGTAGAAAAATTCTCATGGGCTTTCAGAGTTGAACCAGAAAGGAATATAGGTCCTATGGTGAATTTACTCACAATAACTGCAACTGAGTTCATTTTGTAGACTCACAGAATGATTGGCTATTTTGGTCAAATCTCTAATTCTACAGAGAAAGAATTTGGAGCCCAGAAAGTGTCACCAAGTCCTATTTCAATTCCATGCTCACATCTCATTTCTCCAGTGTGCAGGCTACTGTGCTAGGCGCTATGGCAAATGCAGAGATGGTAAGGACCCAGGTCAGGGCTGGAGAAGTGGGCCGACGCTCCGGATACACGGGTCTGTGACACAGACCAGAAGGCGGTGCGGGTCATGGATGATGTATAAACGGCTATGAGAATTCACAGATGGCAGAGAGAGAGGGAGAGCGATTGCAGGCTTTCATTTATGTGTCTTAAGAAAGTCTTTGCGAGGGCAATATCGTCGTGACGTTCAAACGCCAGCACACGAGGCCGAATTGCCACGAACAGGTGGGAGCAGGAAGAGGGAGCGGCCACAGCTGCCGCGGAGGAGGGAGAGGACAGGGCCAGTCTGGACACCCGCACACGGCCCGACGGGGCGGCGCCACAGCCCGGGTAAGCGAGCGGCGAACTGGCACCGAGGCTGCTTGGATAGAGCGAAGCTACATTTGAAGGGTTCCCGTGCCAGTCTGCCGGACAGTGGGGAAGCATGAGCCAAATCCAGAAGTCAAATCTCACCTTTTAATTGGTGCTTTTTAGATGTGAATAAACCTATAATCCCATTAGAACTTGTTCAGCTGCATATTTACAAAGGCTCCTGAAGAGTGCTTCACTTTCTGGAAAGATGTCAGGTGGCTAGTTCTGTTTCACGAAGCCTCTTTTAGATGTCACATTCTGCAGGTGGTGCTTGGGGGTCTGGTCTTGGGAACAGGGCGGTGTGGTCGCCCTCTGATCGCCAGAGTTCCGGCAGAGGTTGGGCAAGGTGATCTCTGGTGGTCTCACCCCCAGCCTTGGGGGAGGGGAGCAAAGAACGTGTTGGGGGATGAGCAGGGTTTGGCTGAGACCCTGCAGACCCCTCAGCGACTTGGTTTGATCCTGGGTCTCGCCTCCCTGAACAGTATCTAGTTCTGGAACTGAGGTGAACTGTGAAACAACATTAGACCCAAGTCCCCCAGCATTTCCCCCCCTCCTTCCTCGTTCTCCTCTCCCCCTTAGCCTTTTCTCTCCTTCCCCCAGGGGTTTGCAAACCAATTTTAAAGTTCAGGACACCTGGGGATTTTTGTCATGGGGGGAAAGGAAAGAGAATAGGAGCAGTGAAGAGATAGAATCTAATATAATCTTAGAGAAAGAAATCTATGCTCGCTTTAGTAGCACCAAGATGCAGCTGACTAGTTGTGATTAAATCAATTAACAAACAGAGACTGAACAGCCACCATATGCAAATTACTGTGCTGCTGGGGATAGCAAGAAGGACGTCGCTGTAATTCAGGGTGGAAATTGTTAGCTCTACAACAGTAACAACTAGTATAGTGTTTTAAGCTTGAAGAGCTCTTCTGGCGTGACAGCTCATTTGGTCCTCATAACCCCCATAATGATTATCCTTATGCGTCACTTCACATACAAGGGGACTGATAACAAGAAGGGTTAAGTACGTCTAACGTCACATAGTTAGGGCTGAGAGTAGGATCAAGCTCTTCCGATGATAAATTTTAGCTTCTTTCTCCTTTAATCACACAAGCTGATGGAAGCTGACAAAATGATTTCCAATTTATGGATATGTATAGTCACAGAGCCAAATCTTGTCTTTTCACACAACTTATTAATTAGGGACCCACAGGATCATAAACACAAAACCCTTACCTTCTGCCACAGTTACCACCACCCAGCAGGCCAACAGCCAGTAGGAGAAGCAGAGTCTGCGAGCCATGACTTCCACCCTGCGCAGTCTCTGCCCCGGACCCAAGGTTGCTTTAAAGGGGGTTCGGTGAGTCACCGGCAGCCTGATGCAGGTAATTTGCATTTGCATAGTGGACCACAGGGATCGGGGCCTGCGGTGTGAGGGTAAGAAATCAGCAAGGAAATTCCAGACAGTATTTATCAACCAGAAGCTTCTTGCAATGACAGCCAAACATCATTCCTGTGTCCTTGGAGTCAGATTGTGGAGAACCGCGCCTTCACTGTCCTTTTAACCCCCTCAAATCTTCTCTCCCGTTAGCGTCTTCCCTTTCCTTGCTCTATGGGTCTCCCCTCTGCAAGAGAAAGAATGTCTCTAGGAAATACTCAACAGTGCTTCCCTCCGTGTAGTTTACTTACTCAAAAAGAGCCGAACAGGATGGGGAGGACATTATCCAAAGCCTTCCTGACCCGGGTGGCTTGAAGACGCTGTTCTCAGGCTTCGGATCAGAGCTTATGGCTGTTTCTTCTCTTCTCTGCTTTTGTCGAGGAGCCAAGGGCAGCGGTGTCAGAAAGCTATCTTGCCGAGTAGCCACCGTGGTCACTGTCTACACAAACATGAATCGTTTGGGAGATTAACTGAGTTGTCCTTCCAGGACTCCTTCTGAATCATCATATTGCCCCTATGATGGACGTGATACATCTGTCCCTGGTTTTTCTTTAGAGAAGAACTCTTGTCTGTCTAGAGGGAATGGGAGGGGATGGCCACAGGTGAGTAAGAGCGTGGATCTTGGAGTTGGAACAATTGGCTCTGATCTTTTTTTTCTTAAAGAAGTCTTTTTTTTCTTTTTTTTAAAGATTTTATTTATTTATCTGACAGAGAGAGACACAGCAAGGGAGGGAATACGAGCAGGGGGAGCGGGAGAGGGAGAAGCAGGCTTCCCGCGGAGCAGGGAGCTGGATGCGGGACTTGATCCCAGGACCCTGGGATCATGACCTGAGCCGAGGGCAGACGCTTTAACGACTGAGCCACCCAGGCCCCCCATAACTGGCTCCAATCTTGATGCCTTTTCTTCCTATGTGGGTGACCAAGAGTGAGCCTCGGAGACTTGAAGCCGCAGGTGCCTCATCTGTAAAATGAGTGTTTTCCTCAGAGGATTGTTGTGCTGAATAAAAGAAACGATTGACCTATAGCTCCAACCACAGTGCCTGGCCCATGGAAGGGAGAGGTTATGGTTGTGATTATATTATAGTAACTCCAATTCTTAATTTGTTCTCTCAGGAGGTTATACTTGTCCAATCATTCAGTCACTCAAAAGGCCTCACTTTGAGCAGAACATTTTCCTGGGCATTGAAGAAAGAGCAAAACAGAACCCAGTCCCTGGCTTCGAAGGGCTAACAATCTAATGGGGGAGACCATGCAAACTGAGGACCAAAATGAGTAAGAATGCCAAGAGCCACAGACTAGAAAGTGGCAAATCCCACAGGCCTGATGATGATCCTAGGCAAAATTCTAGGACAGATGGACAGTTCATCAGCAGTTGGAAAGGAAGCAGGGATCATGGAGAACAAGCTCAGTTCCTTAGCTCAAGGCATTCATCACCCACTGATTGGGTAGCTCTCTGTTGGCCACGTGTCACGTCCCAGACACTGGTCTTGGTGCCCGGGCTAAAAGATGGGGTTCTGCTCTCATGAAGCTTATGGTCTGGCAGGGACATCAAATTTTTTTTAAAGATTTTATTTATTTATTTGACAGAGAGAGAGAGAGTGGGAGCAGGAACACAAGCAGGGGGAGTGGGAGAGGGAGAAACAGGCTTCCCACTGAGCAGGGAGCCCGACGTGGGGCTCAATCCCAGGACCTGGGATCATGACCTGAGCTGAAGGCAGACGCAGGCAGAGTTGGTGTCAGAAGTTCAGGGCACAGTGAATTATGGGCAAAGCTGTTTTCGACTGAGCCACCCAGGTGCCCCAGGGACATCAAATATTAACTAGGGAATAACAGTAAGGGGGTTTGAGGATTAAGGGAGAGGAAGTACTGGAGGTTATGAAGGTTATGAAGCAGAGAAACATCTATAATTTTACGTCAGTGAGTATTACATATATTGATGAGGGACAGAAGCAGAAAAATGTTCATCTTTAGCCCAGAAGGCTGACCTATAGCCTGCATCATTCTGATAAGGATCAAATATTGCTAGCTGCTACATTCTTAAAGGGTCTCATGACTGTCTGTACATCTCACTGAGGGCTAACACCCAGCTGAATGATAAACTCCAGAGAAATCTTGCGAAAGTAGTTTTACAAGTAGAAACTCGAAGAAGACATCTATGATCTAATACTCCCTGCACGTTCCCTCCCCCTTGAGCATGAAGCATATAACCACCAGCTTCACACAGCAAAAGTGCACCTCTTCCTGCCCACGGGTCCTGTCCCTGTGCTATAATAAAACTAGCTTTTTGCACTGAAAACGTCTCAAGAAATCTTTTTTGGCGTTTGCTCATAGCCCCACGTCATATGCTACTTTGCCCCCTGCATCAGAAACACATTGCCTTGCCAATCAAATTAGATCCATGTAATCACTTTACCTACTGCCTAGTGTTCCATTTTATGGATTTATTGTAAATTATTTAATCAAACTTTTATTTATTTTTAAAAATATTTTATTTTTTTGAGAGAGACAGAGACAGAGACAGAGTGAGAGAGAGCTTGAGCATGGGTTGGGGGGCAGAGCGAGAAGGAGAAGCAGACTCAGCAGGGAGCCCGATGTGGGGCCCAATCCCAGGACCCTGGGATCATGACCTGAGCTGAAGGCAGACGTTTAACTGACTGAGCCACCCAGGTGCCACTAATCAAACTTTTAGTTGATGGAGATTTGTGTTATTTCTTCTGATCCTCTTTCTTTTCTGTATTGGATATCTGATGAGCTTTCCATTTAAATGTTCATGAAAATAAATAACAAAAGCAAAATGGTGTAATTTTTCCCCCTGTTTGCATCTATTGTCCTAAAATTTATAAAGTAATGAAGCTTCAAAAGGAACAAATTTTTTTTTCAAGTATATAACAAACAAAATCTTTGTTCTGTTGATAATATCAAAGGAAACGAGAGAGAAGTGGAGTGAGAGAAGACACCGACAGGTAGATTTGTCTTTCACATAATCAACCAGTGTCTCAGGTAGTGCTCTACACTATAGATTATTCTTCTGTTTGGATGAATTTCCTGCCCACCAGGAACATGCCATGGAGAGGTGGACTAGGCTGTTGACTCTGCCCCCTTCTCTTTGAGAAAATATTAATTTTGAATGCATGGCATCTAACCACCAGACTCTAAATTTGTTCTATTATTTTTCTGGGAGACTTAAAAGATACTCATGCAAATGGGGCTAAGCTCCCCTGCTAGGTCTGCCCTGGAGCTGGCGGATCAGATTCCCTGATGTTCCTTTGAACGTGTAAACCCATGTGAAGAGGAAACAGGCGAAGAAGGGTGTGGTGTGTGCTAGAACCTGTGGCAAATAAGACTAAAAACCAAACAAACTCAGGATATATAAAGTGAAAATACCCTGAAAAGGTAACCTGCAAGGGAAGTCACACATGGTGATGTTGATATGGAAACCAAAGAACTACTCAAAGCATACAGAAGAGGTGGGCATGACATATCCTTAGAGCCTCCCTGTCAGCTCCATCAGCAGGCGGGGCTGTCACTTCCTTGCCACCTCCGAGGCTGGATTTCACATGGTTACCATGTCAGAGTTTTGTGATAGCCATTGCCGTTTCAATCCTCTTTCATTCTAAGATCAAGAAAATGTTCTTTACACGAAAATCTGATGATAATCACTCTCTTTCTAAAAATCCTTTGATGATACTCTGTTGCCTAAAAAACAAAATCCAAATTCCTTAGGTGAATATCCAAAATTGCATTACTGATTTATTTTCATCAATGGCTTTACTCTGTCTTCCATCAGTCTCTAACTTAGGTCCCAACCACAACCATATCTCTCTGCTTCTAATCCTCAGCCTTGTCTTGCTCTTCCAAGGAATGAATGAAAATATCTGTATAGGTCAGTGGTTCTCAGCTGGAGGGGATTTTGCTCCCTCCTCTCGCGGAGGACATCTGGCAATGTTTAGAGACATTTTTTTTTTTTTAAAGATTTTATTTATTTAATTGACAGAGAGAGAGAGAGACAGCGAGAGAGGGAACACAAGCAGGGGGAGTGGGAGAGGGAGAAGCAGGCTTCCCGCGGAGCAGGGAGCCCGATGCGGGGCCCGATCCCAGGACCCTGGGACCATGACCAGAGCCGAAGGCAGACGCTTAACAGACTGAGCCACTCAGGCGCCCCTAGAGACATTTTTTTGTTGTCGCAGTGCCCCACGACAAAGTCATCTCTGGCCCCAAGAGCCAAGAGTGTTGCTGTTAAAAAAAAATAATGTATAGTGCAACCTCATCTGAAGCAGGTTGATAATTTTTTTGAGCCTTTAGAAAACTGCTACAGAGGAGGACCAAGTTTCAGTTTAAAGAGAACACCACAGTGGGAACAGATTTATTAAGAGAAAGACTTTTTGCCCACCCTGGGTGATCAAATCAGTTGCAAAATCTTGCCAACCTGCAAAGCCAATTTTCTCCTTTTGGTCAAAGTGAGTTCGAGAAGTAGGAATGAGTATATTCACAAGGAGCCAGGTCCCACCCTCTGCTCGACACAAGTAAGACTGCTCTAGTCCTGAAGCACAGGTAGCTGAAGTAGGGTTGAAAGGAATTGGCTCTGCTGCTCCTCACCAGTTTAATTTTTCAAGCTTCTCTGGAGCCACTGCTGACATAGAAATGCTTTCATGGAGACCTAGGAGCATGGGCCAAACCTCCGGTCCTGTTGCTTCAAGACCAAAACTACAGGGTCAGGAGACCAAATTAGGGACATTAATAAGATCTCCGGTAGCACCCAATAGCTGATAGATCAAAAGGAACAGAATTTTAAAAAAATTTCATAGTATTCTTATTTGACAGGAATTTTTTTTAAAGATTTTATTTATTTGAGAGAGAGTGAGCAA